ATAAACACACAAAATCTCATATGAAAAAAAAAATCTGAACGATCCATGCACCAGACACTTCAAGGTCACAACGCCTTGACTTCACTGCACAACAAAAAAAACTTCACCAAACAACAACCAATAAAAAAAGCAATTAATACGTCATAGTGGTGGGGGGAGGCCGAGAATCAGCTGTAAACAACTACTAAAATACCACTGATGTAATCAAGATGTTCGAGAAAATCATTATTATAGATAATGAATGGAAGTGGCTCTAGATCTGAACCTTGAGTTACGTCATTAGTACCATCATGGAGATTATGATGAATCATGATAACCGCTTGGATACATTCAAACAGATATGATGCGAAAAATTTGTGAGCAACTCCTCTAATACCATAATATTCCAGTTTTTCTAATAATACCCGATGCAATCGAATGCTTTGCTCAGATCACACATTGTCGATATGGCGTTTTTGCCTCTTCCTAAAGCATCATCCACATTACTCACTAGTTTCGTTGCAGTGAGTTCTTCGGTTCTTCCGAATTATTGGAAAAAATTAAGAACAATCCAATATATGGCTTTTCTGTGACTGAACACACTGTTTCGTCAATTCATTTGGATTCCAGGACATCGGCTGCGGATGCATATCTTCAGCGGCAGCAGGAGGTTGCATATCTTCGTAATGAGGATCTTGGGGTGATTTCGAATTGGGGTGAGAGTAACCAGTTTTACTGGTTACAACCCCAACAGCTGCATTGAAGACACTCCTGAATCTACCTCCTTCACACTTTTTGATAATGGTGGAAGCCAGGATGGACCAATTCAGACTGGAAAACTCACCGAACTACAAAAGATCGAACCGAACAAAAATTTCGGAACATATGGAGGAGCACATACTGAATATGTGCACGGACCACATGACACCGAAGTACTCCTTTAACACAAATTTCACGGCCAAAATCATAAGCTGTGAAGAGTGTGAGACCGTTAGTCATCCAGAAAACATGTTTGGACAAAAACCTGTTATACAGATGGATCGAAGACCAAAGATTGAACGAGAGCTGGAATATACCAAGCGGATAGAAATTCAAACTACAGTTATCCGCTAGGACTATACTAATCCGTCTTTCAGGCGGAAATGTATGCTATCTTTCAGTGTGCAAGGCTTATTAAATTGAGACCTCAAAGAAATGAATGGATCAATATTTTAACAAAAAGCAAGAGCGCACTAGGGGCTCTGACAAACCCGAAGGTGACATCAAAACTGGTCTGGGAATGGCATGAAGAACTGAATGAACTTGCAAACAGGAACAAATCAACTTTATACTGGGTGTCAGGGCATTCAGTAATCACAGCTAATGATAAAGCTGATGAATGCGCTAGACACGGATCATCAACTTAATATATAGGTCCTGAACCATCTCCGGGGGTACCAAAATCATTGGTACGAAACCAGATTAGGACATGGACCAATAAGAAGCACACAGAGTACTGGAAAAAAGTAGCTGGCAACAAACACAGTAAAACCTTCATTAGGGAACCGTCCGAGAAAAGAACCGAAGAACTACTTCAATATAGTAGGGATCGGGTCAGAATCATTACAGGGTTACTTACCGGTCATTGTCCGCTTAGACGACACCTGAATAAAATGGGGCAGTACAACGGAGACCTCAGCTGCAGATTATGCAACGAAGGGATAGAAACAGCTCTACACATCTTATGCGAATGTGAGGCACTGGATCACAGGAGGCAGGCAATATATGGACGTACAAAATAACGACCAGAAGAATATGACGAACATCCAACATGGAACCTGTAAAAACTAGTATAGGAAACAAGACTGATGGAATGAGTGTCATGGGAAGATGGGAGAATAAACGCAATAAGCCCAAGAGGCTGCAGTGTTTTCTGGAGACTTGGACTAAATGGACAAGTCAGACAGCTCCCAAGGGACCAAAAATAAGCAGGTTCAATTCAATTCCACGGAAATCTAGCCATAAGTATTCTCCAATAAGATAAATGTCTCCGATCCGGATATAGTGATGTCGGGACAGACAATTCTGAGTTCTGCTTCGATAAGTTTGTTGGGTGTTAAAATGGAGACCAATATGTCTTGACATATTCATGTCGCTGGAATTGTAAAATCTGCTTCTTAGGAGCTTTTACAATGTTCCGAACAATGTTCCGATGTTCCGAACAATGTTTCTAGTTCGGAACAATGTTCCGAACATTGCTTTATAAAGCATTCGATGCTTTATAAAGCTTCTTAGGAGTATTGTTTTCATGTATGGAGGGACCTCCGCCCCTAAGCATAACCTGGAGCTGCTGGCTTCCTTCTAAAAAAGAGCTATCTGCCTGATTGGAGTCATAAACATCACATGCAACCTTGATAGTCTGGAATATCGAGGAAAGGTTAAATATTTGCCAATATTTTATAGATACTTTCACGGGAGGTGTTCAAATGACTTGGCACATTTAATTCCACCAAGAGCGGTACCTACATATCAGAAATACGCGACGGACTCTGGCTGCTTGTCGTTTTGAGGTTCAACTCAGTACACCTCGAACTTCACTGTTTAAGAACTCTTTCATTTCTATAACTGCGTTTATGTGAAATAAACTTCCTGAGCGATTCAAATGCAACATGAATCGCTACTTTCGCATAGGCACCGCTATTAGAGCGCCTGTAGTGCTTATATTTTGTCTTGCAAAAAAGGAATTTTTCATTCATCTTTGAAGTACTCCGTTACTCTATTTTTGACGATTATCTCTATAATTTTCCTAATCATCAAAATAATTGATATAGAATGATAGTTTCCAGGTGAGTCCACTTCCCCTATTCATGTCATAGTTTCTAGACCTTTCCGTATCAGTCATTACTTTAAGGACCTTATTGAGTGTGATAGGGAAAAGAAAGAAAGACTTCGGCTTCGAAGGCAAAGATCTTAGAAAATCAATGGCCGACACTGTGGTTGCTGGTAATTGCTCAAAGAATCTACCCGCGGTCGTTGAAAAATATGTAGTGAAACCGTTTGCAGACAGATTACATGGAGTTGAAACATTTTCAGTGAATTTTGGTAAATGACGGATACATATCTAGGTACTCAATTTGTGGTAACCTCGGGTGTCCCTCAAGGTTCACATTTGGGTCCGTTAATGTTTCTAGTATTCATAAATAATTTGAAAGATTGCTTCAAGCATTCACAAATACTATTATATGCTGAAGAACATCTTCAGAAAAGTAACGACAATTAGAGATTGCTCAAAGATTCAGGAAGACCCCAATACTTTTTTAGAATACCCTTACCTCAATAAATGAAAACTTAATGTTAATAAATGTGCATGTATATCTTTCTACAGAAACAACATACCGAAATGACTTTCAATCCCCATTAGGATTATGTGATAAATTCCTAAAGCAAAACCTTGGTATTTTTCTGCAAAATATGCAGACTTCAACAACGAGGCAGGAATCAAATCTATTTACTATGCATTTGTTTACTGTGAACTTAATTTCGAAAGTGTCACAATAATTACGATTAGAAAGGCTCCAGAACTGATTCGTAAAGTTCTTGCATTTCAAAATAACGGAGACTTATGTAATACTTGGCATTAGCGAAATTCGATCTCACTACAAAATACAGCTTCTAGAACAACGGAGAATAATAACCGACTCAGTTTTCATTTATAAAATTATAACAAACTGTTATGACCCACACAATCTAGTATCAATGATTCTTTATCACGTTCCTCATAGAAACAGTAGAAACAGAATTTCAACACAAATTTGGGCAAAAACTCCCCAATTACTAGAATGTGTGATTCTTTCAACAAATACTGTATTAACGTAAATGTTTTCTTTATTAGGTACGTTGAATTCCTTTAAAATAACCATGAAAAGTATATTCAACACATAGCAGAAATAATGAATAATTGGTTAGTATGTACGAAATTTATTGTCATTAATTTTTATTTTTTCTTGTATCTGTTGACACCGAGTGTCTCTGTAACCACTACTATAAGTGGATGCTTCTATGATTATTTGCCTGTTTGTATCCCAAATTTGGAATAAATAAATAAATAAATGACAGGTACAACGATAACCGTTCTACTTTCATTTCAACTGAATGCAGTATTTTGAAGAAAACTCTTTACAACATCAGTAACAGTATTGTTTTCAGTATTGACAAGAACGTTAGTGCTGATATATATCGAGATCAATTCTGACCTTAGATTCATCCTTGTCTTGTCTATATCCCAGCTGGCGTTTCTCCCGTTTCTGTCCCTGGCGATGTAACTGATAATCAACTTGCCTATAAAGGTACATCTTTTCCGATGATGGTCTATACATTATCTTCTCATAAGATTCTGGATCTGTGGCCCATTCTACAAATTCCTCATAACGCAAGTCGATGAAAGTGGTGCTTTCGTTCATATATTCAAGGTCCATTTGTATACCTAAGAGGGTGTCATTACCCGTACCTGAAGGTAGTGAAATCACCAGAGGTCTACCGTTCACCTTTGATGGTTTCTTTCTTCCATGGACTACGGCAGTTATATAACACTGTTTCGTCATCGTTGTATTGACATTGGAACAGAGCTCGAGATTGCGACAACAGTAATCCTTATCTCTATGCCATTTCGAAAAATGAAACGGGTCTGTTTTCATAACATCGACATGCGCAATCTGAAAAAAAAATAACACGTTATAGCAATATTGTCGTATACAAAACCATTTCTCGGTATTTTGACTTGACGACTCGTTGCTGAGACTTCGAGATATAACTTTCGTCCTGATGATGTATGTCGAAGTAGCGGATGAAACTTTTGATATCTAAGGTCCTATTCACTCCGGGTTTTCTTCTCTTCAATAGACTACATTTTATTATAGCCCCATATTGGTGGATGCGCCGGTCATCAAGAAAAGACTTTCAAAATTTTATTCAATCATTTCATCGGCTAAATATAATTGTGACCAGCATCAAATGGTGTTTTTTATCAACAATGGGGTATTATTTTTCAAAATATCGAAGGGAATCAACAGTTCATTGGGTTTTACTATCTATAGTAACTTCACAGGTGTGTAAGTGTAATAACATCATGATTGAGAAAAACACGGAGATAGTGGTATAAATACAGGCTTTTCATTCCATCAAGTTATGAAATATTCAGTTTAAAATCTCTTGGGAGCCTCGTTTAGATTTGATATTCATAGATCTAGTCTTGTGTCGTTCCCATAGATGTCGTCTTTGTTGAGATCTCTCTTGAATTATGTTACGGAAAAAGTTTTTATTAGTAATAGCTATGTACTTCACAATGATTCACGAGAATCGTGAGTTGAAAAAAATTCAATTGAAATTAAATAAAGGTCGAGAGCCCTTGCGTTGATATGACCATCAATCACTTACATTTTGTCATAGCGACTTTCATTTGATACTGCGCATGGAATAAAAATCAACTTGACAGGAGAAACGAAAAATTTGAAATTGTATCAATAAGAAATGAAAAACAAGTCAAATAATCAACAATCTTTTGTGAGTGAAAATTTAAATGTCTCCTATGGACTGAAAAGAAAATTGTATTCAAAAAACGAACAATTTCTTTCCATAACTGTAACTGATATTTTTATGAATAACCAAATAAAAAAAATTCCATATGATGGGTACCGTACCAATCACGTTGTACAAAAGGAAGAAGGTAAGTACTTTAAGAGATTAAAGGAAAATGTAGATACCGATATAAATAAAGTCCTTCTGGAATTGTCTTGATAAGAGATAAAAATATTGTTCGAATTCAAACTATTTTTGTTACCAGGAAAATAAAGTATTAGTTGATGAAACTACAGAATACTTTGCAAAATTTTCCTCTTCCACTTTTTGCCAACAGTGAGCCTCATGTAATGTGAACTCTAAAGATATTGCCCTGTGTTATAATGGTACATTTGTAGTAAATCGATCAGATGAATCTGATTTTAATAATGCGGCAAAATGAATTAAGCCAAACAAGTCAGATGGTGTGGATGGCAAACGCCATATATACTTGAAAGCTGCCCTGAAGAGCTGAGAATGGCTGCTTTATATTTTCATCCTGATGATGAATAGTAAAACTTTTCCTTCTCTTTGGAAAACATCTATAATTACGTCAATACATGAATCACATAATGAAAAGGACATAGAAAACTATAGACTAATTTCAATACTGTGTTCTCCAGCAAAATTTGAACAAATTATTCATACATAGTTGTTTATTTATTTATATATTTATATCCAAAACCTTTTTTACTTGTTTCAGGGATTTCAAATCATTTTATATAGTAGACAATGGAAGTCCGAACTAGTGAAATTCATCACGAAACATTGTCAATCACCTTCAAACAAAAAAAAAACATTCCAATCGGTTGAAAAATGTAAGTTTTATAAGGGTGCTTCCATCTTAAATGGGTCACACTGTATATTTGAATGTTTTTGTTCATTTCTGAAGACGGAGGCAGATTTTGGCCTCCAAAACGTTAAAGTAAGTATTGTATGTTTCTTAACAATTTTTTCGATAGGCAAAATTGTTAAATACGAAAAGTTACTGATAAATAGAAGATTTTTCTTTGTGAAAAATACAGTAACTTATTAGGGTGAACTAAAAAGTTTGCCCTTCTACACTTGTATAAAGTTCTCCATCATTTTTTTTTCAGGTTGTGGAAGGTAACAAATACCCAGAAAAGGTCGGTAAAAAACTGAATATAGAGGTTGGGTTAGGTTAAAAGTGGATCTATTCGACCATCCACCGCAACCCGCAAGAGTTTACTCGACCAAACTCGATCAAATAAACCCAGTTTCTTAACGAATACGATTAGTCAATATGGTGATTGATCTTTCAGGTCAGATGGTAAGAGTATGTCTCTGCCAAACTCTGAAAACCTGATTCAGTCCGCAGCGAGGCAAGCACAAAATGTATACTCTGCTGTTTCATCATTTTCCGAACAGAGACGACACACACTGTCCTCCGACAGTCCGAGTCTCTGCATACGATGATTCAGACGACAGTGACCTGTGAGAAGACCTGTTAGACATTGTTGATATTCCCTACTGTAGTCCAACAACTCTTTGGTTTCAAACTTCGAAGGGTGAATGAACAGCTTGGAGTGAGCCAATCCTGGAAGATTCTGCCAGAAGTGGATAACTCTTCTTGCCATCCAGGTGTTCAATCTTTGTTTGGCAAAACCTAAAGCAATGCCAATTACAGGTTCTGGTCCGATAAAGCTTCTTGCAGCACCCTTTTTTGCAAGAGTCAGCAGCCTGATTGCCTTCCAGACCAGTATGGCCAGGAATCCAGACCAGAGACAATTTGTTTTTGGAAATTTGCTATCAATTTAGACGTTGCTCGGTAGGAGCCAAGAGCTCACAAAGCTATATTGATTTCAGCAAAGCATCAGGTGAATCATGATGAATTACTGCATAAGTTAGGATTGTATGGAACAATAGGAGAGACATTACAGTTATTATCAAATTATCTACAAAATATATTATTTACGGTTAGACATTGTCGAAATATAGTTCCCTATAACTTCAGGTGTCCCACAAGACTCTAATTTGGGGCCTCCCTTGTTCACATTGTTTTATAATGATCTTAGATCAGTGCTGAATTATTCATACGGTTTTCATTTTGCAGACGATTTTACAGAAAGATCTGAATAATATAGTAAATTTTTAACAGGCGATGATCGACTGTATTGTCAAACATGCGCCAAACTAACTGACTGTTATAAGGAAACAAGTATAGCTGAGGCACCAGTCAATCTAGTAATAACACTGATGATTTTCAAACAAGACTCAACCTCTAACGGAAGCAAGAAACTCTTTGGAAGGTTCAAAATAGATGAACATTTCAATCTAGCAGACCACTATTATAATATTCATGCAGTCATTGTTCACTGTGATTCTGGCTTTGAATTTGGTCATTATTACGCCTTGGTCAAAGAAGAAATGGACTGGTTTAAGTATGACGATAGTCGTGTCACGAAGTGTTCTGGTGATGCATTGAATTTATTGGAGCCTCTGGAGACACCCTACATTTTGTTTCATGAGAGAGAGGACATTGTTAGATCAAGATCTTCAGATGATGTGGTGCTGCAGGTTTTTCCGGGTTTTCCTGCAGCTGAAAAAGCAAATGCGCCACTGGAATCAATGAAGTCGCCCCGGAGCGCCAATAAATTTTTATTGTTGTTTTTATTTGATTTTTATCGTTGCTTCATTACTTATATTTTTGAAAAAAAAAATATAGTAAATGGAGTCATGATAATAAATGTTCATTCAACATAAGTAAATGAAATGTTTTTACTATGAATAGGATAAAATAAAAATGTTCATCACACTATAGATACCTAATAAAGAGTGAATGAAGGAAGTTAAAATTTAATTCAAAATTCAACTTTTTTTGCCAATCATATTCGCAATATCGGGAAATCTGCTAATTGGATGTTAGGATAAACATTCCGAGAAATCAGGCATTTCACCAGTATAGAAACTATCGAAATACTTTATCATACCTTAGTTCGACCCAATCTTGAGTAGATATGCACCCAAAGTTTGGTGAAACTAAAATTCAACTCAATTAGGTGAGCTTGTAAAAGTGCAAAATAAATTGCTAGATATATGTACGAGTATTTTGAAAAATAGCACCAATAGGAGGATTATAGGACGGTGCGAATATAAAAACTTGGAATAGAATTTAAAATATTATCTCTGCAGCAAAGGTGTGTTTTGACTATCATGATACAGTTTTCGTCAATTAATATTGTATTATTTGCTAAATATTTCTGTATAATTTTTCTCTGGTTTTTTGTTCATTGACAGTTGCGGTTATGAACGCTTTGTATTGTAATTATCATGTACTATTATCATTGGGTATTAGTATTGAACTGAAATTATATATTTCATTTATGTAATAAACATGTAGCTGGGTTAATCAGCCTGTTTGGATAAATAAATAAATATATCTGATCTCAAAACTGAAACCAGATGCTCCTGAAATTATCTATTTTGATTCATTCACTCATTTCATTACCTCATTTCCACCCCAACCTGCTTCGATTGCGACCTTCCATTCCACTTCTGAATTACCAAGTGCTAGAATTTTCACTTTTTCGGAAAAGTCCGGAACAACTTCTAGGATATAAAGACCATCGTATGGAGATGGCAGCCCAACATCTTTTCCAGAGAAAACTTTTATAATGCGATGTTCAACACCTCCTTTCAAGAAATATCGGCTCTCGGATCTCACTATACTTCTATAAAAGTCATTACTGTTGAAGGGATCTCGGACACAGTCATCTCCGGTTAGAACTGAAATTAGGTAAAAAATTATCACAATTGGAAAGATTTCATCATCCAAAACTCAGCCTCATTTTTCTTTCAATTTTGTCTCAGTACTTTTTCCCATCTTAAACCCAAGAAGCGAAAAAGTAATAATAATACCGTCTTTATTATCTTCTTATACATTCAAATCAATCATGTACAGTTCATTTATTATAAGAAGACAAAAGGCGAAGTTCAATTTACATGATGACAAGTCATCATTCAATTGCAATTGCATTGTGAATATTTTGAATGGAACAATTCATTATTACAGGATGGTAAACACATCGAGATAGTTTGGATTCCTTCTCATATGGGAATAACGGGTAATGAAAGGGCCGATTCAGAAGCTCGAGAGGCCATTTCAAACCCCAACTGTCGAGAGATCCAACGAGTGCCCTATCAAGACGTTTATCTCCAAATCAAAGAGCTCATATGCGACAGATGGAGGCAAAGGTGGCAATCCCTATATAATAATAAACTCAGAGCCATTAATCCAAATCTAGTCACTCAAAATTACCAAGCTCTTACCCGCAGACACCCGCAGATTTACACGCCTGAGAATTGGACATACGAAATTTACCCATCTACATCTCCTAAAGCATGAAGAGCCTCGCATTTGTGATACCTGCAGTGTGGCGATGAGTGTTGAACATTTCATCTCTGATTGCCCAGCTTTCAATGAAGAAAGACAATTTTTCGGATTACCAAGCGACCTCACCAATGCATTGTATATTACGAACTTTACTTCCCTTTATAGTTTTTTGGAAAATGTTGGCATCTCTTACAAAATTTAATGTACTTACTGTTACCGCTAATAACCCTAGTGGTTGATGCGGTGTTTTTCCTTTTAAATAAAAGAATATCATTATTGTATTTTTGTGCTTGGTCTTGACCGATGTAATGGTGGAAGCAAAATAACAGTTTCTGGTCAACTCATTGTTATTTTTGATAATGAAATTAGAGAATACAGGATCAAAGTATCCACTTGATATTATTCACATAAAACTGACAATTCTGAGAGGATTTTCTGACAGTTAGATTGCCTGCAGACACAGTTGTTGCTAATGTCCAAACAATACAAATAAGCTCTACTTCATATTATTTAAACTATATTTGGCGAGACCATCAGAGTATCCATAGTAAATGCTAGCTAGACACTCAATGAAACATGTGAATAAAAACTAGCACTTTCTAACTAGCATATGCTAGGTCTAGTAAGTATTTGGTTAAATCAGTGTGAATAAAAATTTGCAGAATATACTAAGGCAAGTCTAGTAGAATCCGGAAAAACCCAAGCACTTACTTGTGGGGTAGTACATGCTAGACCAAGTAAATGCTAGGTCAAGTCACGTTCTCCCCTCCACTACCTTTCAGTCAACTACACATCGGCAGCCCCTCTCTCACTCTGTTCAACCATGTGCTAGAAGATGTATTCATCATCAGAAGAATCTGACAATGATTTCAATGAAATAGAAAAAATTGATCGCACTCTGTTTGTACGTCTCCTCTCGGATCACATTATCTTACTTAGCAAATCAAAAACCCCTGCTGTGATGAATGCTTAGAAAGAAGCTTGGGACACCTTACGTTCTGACTACTGTGGCGCATTTGGGAAACAAGTTACTGTAGGCCAACTAATAAAAGCATTGTGAAGTCTACCGTCAAGAAGAAGATTGACGTAGAAGTGATGGGAAACTGGAAAATAAAACTACAACTGTGGGAAAAAACATTCTTAGAGTTGATAGAAGATGTTAACCCAGTATTCCATAAAATCCCGGGTGATATTTCAGTTGGCACAAGTGCCGGGCCCCCAGTTCAGCAACCAACCAGTGATGACATCCAAGAAAATTTGCCGAATACAGAAACTGAAGGCAAACCAAATGAAAATGAAGAATCGAAGAGCTAAGAAACAAAGAAGCCTATGAAAACTAAATCTGATGCCGACCACCACAAAAATAAGATCAGAAAAAGTGAAAAAATTGTGTCGAATCATGAAGTAGATGAAACTAAAGACCTGTCCACACCGCAGTTGCAAAGGATTGTTTTGTTGCAACAATACAAACTGAATAAAATCAAACTGGAGAAGGAAACTATATTGTTGGAAACCATGAAGAAGCAAACCGTTGAAAAGTCTACTAATTACTATCAATTACTATTCACATAGTAATCAATTGTAAGCTACATAAGTTGTATTTTCCTTTGGATTGTAATAATGCAGGATTCTTAGGATTATAATTCTTACTATTGTAATCAAACTTGTAATTTGAAATAATTCAGTAATGGTATGAATAAAAACTAGTATATAAAATAAGATGATTTATTTCAGTGAATGAACAAAAACCATATCCCAAAAAAAAATATGCAAAACTGTGTGCAAGTAGGTGCTTGCGTGAGAAAAATATGAAAATGTTACCAAGTTCAATTTCACAAAAACAATTTTCTCAATGAATATCCAAATACGCCATCAAATTGGCACGCTTGTCTTTGCCTTTCAATGTTGTGTCGGGATTTTCATAACGAACCACCCCAGGTTGGTCATCTTCATCAAGATCCCCATCCTTTAGCTGCTTTGCAATGTTGTGTAGCACAGTGCAACTGACTACCACTTGTGGAATGTTGTTTAATGCAACTTTAACACAGTTTCCCAGGATTAGGAATCTCCTTTTCAACTGGCCAAAACACCTTTCTATTATAACCCTTTCTCTAGCATGGATAGGATTGAACTCTCGTTCTTGTTGCGTTCGTAGGGGCTTGAACGGTGTAATCAATCACGGCGATAAACCGTATCCTGAATCTCCTAAAAGACAAACTGCTGACACGATGTCTCTGACATGACTATTCCTCCACACTCTGCCATCGTGAACACTGCCGGGCCACTCAGCAGTAATACTTGAAAACTGTTCCAATGCATTGTATGTTGCCTGGACATTTATACTAGGATATCTTTTTCTACAAATATACTCATCACCGTGCAGCCCAGGCTTTTGTTTCTCAATTTGAGTACAATCAAGGGCACCAATTACAGACGGCAAACGAAAATGTATCTGCCACAAAACTTTAGCATCGGTAATATCTTCAGCTGTAGTTGGAAACCGTATCCAATTATGTGATTGTTCAACTACTCTACTCATCACGTACCTTATAGTCTTGTTAGCAGTAATACGATGTACACCCACATCTTGAGCTACACAACCCACACCCACAAACCTCAGAAATATTTCCATTTGCTGTCTTCTGGAAATACCACCGCCACGAGTATCACTTTCTTCAAGAAACTGTGCTCAAGGAAATCAACACTCTCACTGTTAAACCTTGACAGTTCTTTACAATTACGTTCGTTTATTCCAGAGCAAACAGAATAAATTTTACGTTGACGAATAGGCATAAACTCAGCCATGATCAACAACATACTGAGGACTGAGCAGAGAGGTAGTAAATGCTAGGAAAAAGGCTAGCATGCCCCAGACCAGGCTTGAAAATATCGAAGCATATGCTACAGAACAATCTACTTCAAAAGTTTTATTCACACCATTTTTAAAGCATTTACTACTCGTCCGGGAAAACTCTCGAACTTGTTACCCCAAGCAAGTGCTAGTGTGTTTATTCACACAAAACGTAGCATTTACTTAAGAAATCCCTAGTATTTGCTTATACTAGTTTTCATTCACATTACTGAATACACTACGATGGGGGTCTTTTATATTTCGGCAACGGGCAACACTAATTACAATAGGTAAAATGTGGTAACACTACGATAACTTCATCGTGTCAAATTCGCATAAACGTCGGTCGGTAGCCAAGCGGTTCGGCGTGGGTGCTTTGTTCACCCACTCGAATTGACTGACGTGTTGGTCGGTGGTTCAAGCCCTAGTCTGAACGATCGATCTTCACTTGCTAACGTCCAACCCGTGTTAGGAACCACACGTTGAAAGGTGAGACCTCGTTAAACCTTAGATCGCACAAGTTTCGACTTCTGAGGGTTGTCGTTCGTAGGGGTGCGACAGCTGGTTAACGGAAAAAAACAGAAACAGGAACAACGTTTTGATGTACAAGTGCAATTCGTTTTGTTTACAGTGAGTTGGGAAAATGAATTTGACCGAAAAATGGAAATTTTAAGAAAAGGTGTTCGTTGGTTTTTTGCTACAAATTTCGACCTGGATTGTCTCAACAAGAATGTGTCGATAAACGCAGTTCTTTGTGTGGTGATAAAGCACCATCAAAAACCACAGTGTATCGCTGGTATACTGAATTCAATCGTGGTCGTAGTTCGGTCGCCGGCGAATTCCGTGAAGGTCGTCAAAAATCGGTTGTTGTAATACAAAATATGGATGCAGGGAGTGAACTGGTAATGCAAGATCGTCATGTGACATATTGTGAGGTAGAGATATCCTTGGACTTTAGTTCCACTTCCACTTTTTGGATGGAATCCAGCAGCTTCATGATATGCTTGAAGAGCGGATGTCCATACATGAGAATAATACTCCAACGAAAGTTTTAGCTGAGCTTTATAAGGCATCAAAAGTTGCTGAGGTGTGTAGAGTTCTCTGGTTTGGAACAGTGTTACAAGCCTTTGATATACAGACTGTGCGATCCCAACGACATGATTGTGCCAAATCATATTGGTGTCCATTTTAACCCGCAACAAACTCATCGAAGCAGAAATCAGAATTGTCTGTCCTGACATTATTATATATAGTTCGAAAACATTCATCTTTTTGGAGAAAACCGATGCCTGAGTTTTTGTGGCATTGAATTGAACCTGGTTACTCTTACACCAATGGGCTTGTTTCATGCTATTGAAAATGATACCCATTTGCATACAGACTGATCAAGTTAGGGGTATATTATACTTATCGAGCTTAATCGGTTCCAATACCTCTTTATATTTGCAGAAAAAAAAATCGAGAAGCAAGAGTTTAAATTGGCTGCGTGTCTATCGACCAATAAAAATTGATCGTGTCTACAGCGGTGTTGCCAAGTGGTCAATTATTTTACCAAAGATACGAAGTTATGAAACATTAGAAAGAATACATTGTCTCATACATTCAAAAGAGATATCTGACAGGGCAATATGGCTAATATATAACGTTGAATTTCTTATTTTTGGTGGGTGGCATGAATGCATAATTGATTCTTTTCATTGGATTAATGAGCCTTCGAGAACCATTTAAAAATATAGCTCGTTAAATTCTATTTGGAACCATGGTTTTCAATTACATTTTATTTCATATGGAGAATTTTTTCATGAATTTAAACGTTAACGGGTTCATATACACTTCCATTATTAAAATTTCTGTGATATCAACATAAAAATGTCTACTGCCGGAGAAATTTCAAAAATAATGTTTTTATTGCGTTTTGTGTTATTTGGATCCCATGTATAATTAATTCTTCTTTCTAATGCATTTCTTACACTTTCTTCTTAGATTTAGTTGTCGGAAGTGAGTGTGATTTTATTTTGAATCACAAATGAATCAGAAACTGTTTATGAGCTCCGTGAATTTTACAATTTGGCAATGTTCATTATTTGTATTGTTCCTACTGGTCAATCAAACAAGAAGCGGGACTAGGCCCGTGACGTCACGGGCCTTTGAAGAGCTAAAACAAAGTACACTATTTTTCAATACGGAGACAAAATGGAACAGGAAACTGAAGAAAATATGATAAATGAGGTATATATGAGGTAAGTTAGACATTGTATCCTTTTCAATAAAAATTAATAATTTGCAGACAAACATGAACCCGGGGAAATCTACACGTCCAATTTCCTCCGAAATGAATATTTGTCATACAAGTGCTTGGAGACATCTCAAAAAAGCAGTTGAAAATATTACAAAATACACATATATCAAAAATTGCATCCAGTTGATCACGGAAGGCGATTAGAATTTTGTAATTAGCTAATAAGTATACCTGATTTTCCTGTTTTCCTGGAAATTGTAATTTGGACAGGTAACAGAACTTTTACGAATTGTGGGATATTCAACCAAAATAACGAACACATTTGGAGCATAAACAACCCCAGGTAGTTCCGAGAAATTCGACCTTGAGTGATATTTAGTATTATCGTGTGGGCCCTCATTTATTCCACTGAATTCTGAATGGAGAAACCTATCACCAGTTTTTAATGTCGATTTTCGAAGACTATTTGGATCATCTACCTTTGGCTACCTATAACAACATCTGATTTCAACATGATGATGCTCGACCGCACACTACCAGAAGAGTATCTACCTGACTTAAAGGTTGAGTGATAAATGGATATGGAATATAGGACCGGTGAGGTGGCCAGCAAGGTGTCCAGACCTGAGTGTTATGGATGTTTTCTTATGGGGTGCACTGAAAAAATACAGCATTGTTAGAGTGTTCGAAAATTGAAGAGGGGGGAAATCAATCGTGCAGTGAATTATATTCGAAGAAGGGCACAGTTGTGTTATCATGAACAAGGCCAGCATTTTGAGCATTTGCTGTGATTTACTTTTACACACCTCATTTATCAAATTTTGAATGTTGATTTTGTCTCCGTATTTTTTCATTGGCTTCTCAAACGAAACAAACTCGGTGAGATTTTGATTCAATAACTTGAACATAGTTCGATGTGGTTGTCGTCTTTCGGGATACAAGTTTAAGTACATTTCCGATATCCTATTACTGTTTCTATTGTATTTGTAATTGACTGTAACGAATTGAAAGTCAAATTTAGAAACATCAAATTCAAAGCCTATTATGACATGAATTGATTTTTTTCAATATATCCAATATTTCTAAAAAGAATGATAACTTATGAAGAAGGTAAAATCTGAGAAGGTAAAATCTGGTTCTATTCAAAACAGAAAGAATCCAATGTACCGCCCTTGAGAAAAAATAAAGTTGATGATGTTGGCCGGAAGACGAAACGCCGGATAGCAAATATGAAAACACCATTATGTAACAGGGAAAACGTGGCAATATGGAATTGCAATTCATTTTCGAATCATTCGAAAAATGAAGCCAGAAAAAAATAAAAACCATTTTCTGAAATTTCGGTATTTTCCGGATATCTCCGGATATACTCGGAATTTCAGAACTTTCTCAACGGCATATTGTTAGTTAGAAATGCGCAACTTTGCCCCAATTTAACCATCTTCGTATCTCTCATAATTTCCGAGATCCCAATGGGGAGGATCGAATTTGAAACACCCTGAATAAACACCTTGATCACTGTTTATAATTTTCCCGTATGTGTAGACATTTTCGACATAACAACCTATCTAATAAAAAAATACTTCACCTGTATTGATAGAAATGACTGCTCCAGTACAGGCAAACATCCAGTAGCTATCATTGACATCGAGATAACGGGGCATACTCACGGAAACTAACCAAGTGAAACCTGCGATGCTCCCATATTTTCTCACTTTGTTTCTTGCTCTAATATATCTGTTTAAATTCAACTTCTGATCTTTAGGCACATAATTATCCCGAAGAAATTCCTCAGGCAAGACTAAGCCAACAAGCAATGCCATCAAGCCTCCAGTAATGATTATTAATGTTGTAGATACCAACAAAACATTCCTAGTAGTTATCGACATAATTGAGATTTTGACTATTGGATATACTCGTGTTGAGACATGAATATCAATTTCACTACATTGACAGGAAAGTTAAAATGACAGATTGAATAGCAACAGAGAGTGTTGTAAAATTTACTTTGAGTTTCACTAATACATTTTAACCTCGAACTCTGATTGGCTCTGTCTAACATGCCGCATAGTAGAAAATTCAGGTAAACTTTCGTTTTGTGGAAACCCGGCGATTTTGAAAAAAAATTTGACTGTACTTACGTATTTTGATGCGTAGATTACGAATCCGAAAGAAAAAAGCGGCGCTCTCCCTTATTTACAAAGTTCAAGTCAAAGTTCAAAAAAGGGCGACTTTTCAGCCTTCTTTTTCATAAAATAAACTATTTAAAAACACAAGCATTTATTCACTAGGTCACCCCCTTCCTTGTTGAGGAATGGAATGTGTTTTTAGTGAATAATTATTGAAGTGCTGATGATTTTTTTGAAATTGACCCCTATGGTTTTATAAGTGTATTTCAAAAATAAAAGCTATTGTTTACCTCAAGGTTGAGTTTTTCGGGGCAGTAGTCACTTATTTCGTTTTAATTACTTCGTGTCAGTTTATGGACTCACATCGAAAGCACAAATTCATGACGTTTTGACATTTGTCCATTCTTTCGTCGACCCAACCATACCATTGTTGAAATAAGAAATGTTTTTTTCTTCTTCAACTGTTGTTGACGCATGAGTAGGCAGATAAAGACCCTCGCGGAGACCAGCGACGAGACCTGGGGTGTAGGCAGATTTAGGCCTCGGCGTCAAGTCAAAAAAACATTAAAGCTTGTCGCCCACTTGTTCGGCACAGCCCGTCCCGTGAGAATACGTATAGAATTGGAACAATGAAAATTAATGAACTGCCCACTAGCCCGGCACGGCACAGGGAAGAGCATCCACCGCCGGAAAGGATTCCAGCTCTTCGATCCTGTCCGGCAAATAACGGTACGTGCTGTGACGGACTGGCCAAGTGAGCGCGTCGCCGGCCAGCGCTCGCCAGCCTCAACTTATCCAAATGTGCCTGGGAAGTTTCTGTCTCTCTGTTTGGCTATCCGGAAGTTCTGAAAATTTTCCTGGAGTAATTCAGAAATACTGGAAAAATTTCTCCTTGTCTTTTTTCAGGTCGTTGAAAAGATGATGAAACTCTCCCAGATTTGCACCTTCAGTATGCTGGTTGAAGCAGGGCAAGTGGGCGATGCTACTACCCGTCGCCATCAGGCGACAGATGGCGCCGTGCTATGCTGTAGGTGACAAGCTTAAAAGCGTCCATTTTCATAGGTAACGTCTAACACTGTGCTGTCAAATGATGGAATAGCAAAACAGCAACTTCCCATGCACTTTTGGACGAGTTGATACTGGCAAGCTCTGGCCGGTGACGTGCTCACTTGGCCAGTCCATCACAGCACGTTCCGTTATTTGCCGGTCAGAATCGGAAAGCTGGAATCCTTTCCGGCAGCAAACGCTTTTGGCTGTGCCGTGCCGGGCGAATGGGCGGTTGTACATTAATTTTCATTGTTCCGATCTTATACGTATTTTGACGAGACGGGCGGTGCTGTGCTGTGCCGGACAAGTGGGTGACAGGTTCAATAAGTCGAAATGCTGTGCTGTGCTGTGTGGGCGACAAGCTTGAAGCCAGTCGCCTACTCGTTCGGCTCAAGCTTAAAGCTTGGCGCCTACTTGTCCGGCACAAGCTTGAAGCTTGTCGCATACTTGTCCGGCACAAGCTTAAAGCTTGTCGCCTATTTGTCCGGCACAGCACAGCACGGCGCTGTCCGTCGCCTGATGGCGACGGGTAGTAGCATCTCCCACTCGTCCAGTTTCAACCAGCAAACTGAATGTTCTGTTTGTTCGATTTCAAGAGAATTTCAGTTGAAATTGAACGGTAACAGAAACTTGTCTATCACTAGCAGTTTTCACGAAGAAGTCGTCATTATAGTGGAGGCGTTATGGAATGTAGAAGAAAATATTCACAAAAAAGAATGTTGTGGGACCATCCCATTGATCAAAAGAGGGCAAATCTGGGAGAGTTTCATCATCTATTCAACGATCCGGAAGAAGACGGGGAGAACTTTTACCAGTATTTTCGAATGACTCCAGGCAAATTTTCAGAACTTCTGGATATTCTAGTGCCTGCCTTAATAAGCAACTCAATTTTTCCTCGTCCATTTTCACAGGTATCGTCTGACACTGTGCTGTCAACTAATAGAATAACAAAACAGAGAGACAGAAACTTCCCAGGCACGTTTGGACAGGTTGACGCTGGCGAGCTCTGGCCGGCGACGCGCTCACTTGGCCAGTCCGTCACTGCACCTACCGTTATTTGCCGGACAGGATCGGAGAGCAGGAATCCTTTCCGGCGGCGGACGCTCTTGGCTGTGCCGTGCCGAACTAGTTGGCATTTTCATTGTTCCGATCTTATACGAGAGATCTTGACGAGACGGGCGGTGCAGTGCTGTGCCGGACAAGTGGGCGACAGGCTTAATAAGTCGAAGCGAAAATATCGAACTACCAAAAACACAAGACGCTGTGCAACCCAGACAACAGTGCAAAAATTGCCAAAGGCATTTATTCTGATTGATGAGATTATTTTGTATGCTTCATTCTCATAAGTAAGTGAGAATAGAAACTTTCCATTATTATTCAGCGAATTATTTAACGGAGGAAGCGACGGTTATCCTCGTCGCGTTCTCAAGTGCCATCCGTTAATGCGGATAATGAGAAATTATTAATTTCATCAGGATAATTTTAATGTTGGAGTATAATGTGGGTATTTTCGGAACTATGAGTCAGGTTTTTTAAAATATTTCCAAATATGTTCACCATTTTTTAACTGAAATTGAAGATAGCTCCCCTTTTCTCCCAATTTATTGCGTGATTCACTTCATTACGTAAAATTTGATATTGTTGCTAATACCCAATGGATTAATTTATATTTATAAGTGCCTTATTAGGCATCATAATTCTCAATGTTAACACTGTTAACACTTCCAAATAGTACTCGGCGTTTTCCTCTGCAAAATAATTTTTCATGGAGGAGATTTCATCTTCATTTGACGAAAATCCCTATCCCCTGAGCGCAATTGGCAGATGACGCAACAAAAAAAATCGCTTGGGGCTAGATCTGGTGAGTTAGGTTGATGGTCAAACAGCTCAAACCGTAAATCGTGGATTTTTGCCATGGCAATCGCTGAGGTGTGAGACGGTGCGTTATTTTGGTGAAACAGATTTTTTTTCGTAAATGTGGCCATTTTTTCCCAAGTTTTGCCTTCAGCTTGTCAAGTAATATTTAATGCGTAGTATACTCCTGTAATGTTTTTTTCCTTTTTGAAAATAATCAATTGGAATAACTCCATAATTCCTCTAAAAAGCAGTGGCCATCGCTTTCCCAGCCATAAAATGAGTTTTTCCTAATTTTGGAGCCGGTTCCCCCTTTGCCGTCCACTGTTTGGACTGTAGTTTTGTTTCGAACGTATAAAGAAGTATACAAGTTACATCTACAGTTATTATTCAGTGCCAAAATTTGAATTGATGGCACATGAACTGCGCCAACAGAGCGTTGAAAAAGTTCATTGGAGCCGGTTCCCCCTTTGCCGTCCACTGTAGTTTTGTTTCGAACGTATAAAGAAGTATACAAGTTTCATCTGCAGTTATTATTCAGTGCCAAAATTTGAATTGATGGCACATGAACTGCGCCAACAGATCGTTAAAAAAGTTCATTTGAACACGTTTTTGGTCTCACGTGAGCAAACACGGCACCCAACGGGCGGACAGCATTCTTGTGCCTGAATGTTGATCCAATATGCGACAAACACGTTATTTTGATATGCTTGTAACCTCTGCTATCTCCCCCACTTCAATTCGGCAGTCATCTAGCACCATTTGGTGAACTTTGGCGATGTCGCAGTTTTGGGACATTCCGAATGTTCATCGTTTCCCTGTCTCTTACGGCCATGTTTGAATTCAGCTAACCAAAATTTCACTATGGTACAAGATAGTCCCCATACACAAATCCAAGTCATGTTTAATTTGCGTAGGCGACTTCTCCAAAGCTTTTGATTGTGTAAATCATGAACTTCTTTTGCAAAAGTTGGGCTACTATGGCTTAAGAGGAGTGTGTATTGACTGGTGAGATAATACGGAAAACTATCACACACTGAGGATATTTTAAGGGGCGATCCACAAGGTTCAGTACTGGGCCCGAATCTTTTTCTAATATATGTAAATGACCTTATTACTCTCTCAATTCAAGGAATTTTTACGATCTTTGCTGATGACACCACGCTCTTTTGGCATGGAAAACAAATTCTAATATGAAAGAAATGATCTCAAGTGATTTAGAATTTGTGAAAAAATGATATGACGCAAAGTATTTGTGCTTTAATATTATAAAAACATATCTACTCACCTTCAGCTGTGATATCAACAAATTATACTTGAATGGATAAATTCTTGAGAATGAAAACCAATCTAAATTCCTGGGAATCTTCATGGATAAAAATTAAAATTTGATCAACATATTTCAGCTTTGAATGAAGAATTGGCATCAGGATGTTATGCACTACGAATAGTTTCAAATGGAATGAGTTCATCTACAACAACAAAAATGGTATGTCATTCCCTGATTGAATCCCACCTTAGATATGGTGTTGCCTTCTGGGGATTTTGTCAACAACTTTTTATTTTGGTGTTTGTTTTGCAATAGCGAGCGGTTAGATATTTATGCAAGGTGGGAGTGTGTGAGTCATGCAGATCATTAAATTTTAGAAACAAAATTCTCATGTTACTTGTATTTTCATACTGGAAACTGTTTGCCTGATTTACAAAAAAAAATAATATATAGGAACATATAAATTACATAACCAGGCAAGTAAAAAAATAAAATAGGTCTTCCTGTTCCAAAAACAAGTCAGAACAAATATTCTTTAATCAATGAAAGTAAAAAGCTGTATAATCACATACCTTACGAAATTAGAAAGGAAAAAAGCTATAAAAAGTTCAGAAATCTTGTTAAGGACGCCCTTGCAACGAAAGCGTACTACAATCTTGATGAATATTACAATGGAAGTTTGTTGTTTA